CTGAAGCTGAGAACTGACGGGGATTTTGTCTGAAGGGTATTTATAAGGAGCCTCCACCCTCTCGAAAACACTTTTTTTTCTTTTCTTTTTTTCTTTTTGAAAAGAAAGAGACCGAAGCCAGATTTCGAGGAAAAAATAACGAGGTTATCCAACGAACCGGCTCGGGAAGTCCACCGAGCGAAATATGAACAGGAATTGCTTGAGGGTTTGACGCAAGTGCAAAGGACTTTGGTCTGTATGGATGTCCTATGCAGTCTGGTCCACACTTAATGAAATAAAGTGATATCATACTTATCTATGTTTTTTCCCAATACTGCTGTTTGTTGAAGATCTATTTTCACTCTCTTATTATCGAAAAGTTTTATTTTGATGGTTTGCGTTCATTTCAGAAGTTATTGACGAATTATCAAGAATTATGGGAAATGCAAAAATGTAATCTCTCTCTCTCTCTCTCTCTCTCTCTCTCTCTCTCTCTCTCTCTCTCTCTCTCTCTCTCTCTCTCTCTCTCTCTCTGTCTATCTATCTACAAACGGCAAATACACATACATAGAAAAAACATTGAATCTCTCACTATAAAATAAAGTGCTCAGTATAATCATACACTGTCTTGTAATAAAAGACACAAAACAGCCAACAGAGCAATTGAAAATGAAACTAGATAGCAACTTTAGAAACTGTTGTCTCATCTTTGCCATAAAATTGCTACGTGTCTTGTATGCAACACACAGGCACACACACACACTCACACATAAATATGTATATATATATATATATACGTGCATATGTATGTATATATATGTATATATATACATATATACTTATACACACACACACACACACACACACACACACACACACACACACACACACACATATATACACACACATATGTACACACACACACACACATATGTATACATATATATATATATATATATATATATATATATATACATATATATATATATATATATATATATATATATATATGTATATATATATATATATATATATATATATATATGTATATATATATATATATATATATATATATATATATATATATATATATATATATATACACACATACATATACACGCGCACAATATATATATATATATATATATATATATATATATATATATATATATATATAGAGAGAGAGAGAGAGAGAGAGAGAGAGAGAGAGAGAGAGAGAGAGATTCATATATATATATATATATATATATATATATATAGAGAGAGAGAGAGAGAGAGAGAGAGAGAGAGATACATATATATATATATATATATATATATATATATATATATATATATATACATATATATACACACACACAGATATATGACACATATACTCTCTCTCTCTCTCTCTGTCTCACACACACACACACAAACATATATATATATACACAGTGCTACTGATAATGTTAATGATATTAAATGATAATATCAACAATAACATTAATTGTAATGATGATAATGGTGATAATGATAATAATAAACATACCTGAAATCTTAATAAGAAGCATAAAAATAAACGACTATCATAATAATGATAATATCAATGATAATAGCAACAATGATACTAGCTACTAACAATTATGATAATGATATAAATAAAAACAATAATTTCCACTTTTCGCCATTTTTGCATCAAATATTTTAATAGATTTTAAAGAAAACATCGTGTTTATTTTAAGTCAACAGAAAACGGGAAAAGGTTTAATTCAAGGCATGATAGCATCTTCCGTTTTTTTTCTTTTCTCTTCTTCTCTATACTTCATCTTCTTTTCGTGTTTTTTTTTTTCTTTTTTCTATTTGTTTATTTATTTAGTTATTTTTCATTTATCCTCTTCTTACCGTCTTTCGATTTTTTCTTCTTCCCCATGGAGTTGGATTTTTCATCTATCTTCGTTCTTTAATCTTTTGCTTCGCTTTTCCTATTTTCATTTTATTTCATCTCCTTCTTTCCTTTCCCTTTTCCTTTTCTTCTTTATCCTTCCCATATCTTTTTTGTCGTCTGCTCCTATTTCTTCCTTTTGTTTTTTGTTTTTTGTTTTTTTGCTTCTCCCCCCCTTTGTTTCTACTTTTGATTCTTGTTTCTTATTTTACTTTACACGAATTATCAGTCTTGGTTCATGCGTCGAAATAGATAAATGCACAAATAAAGAAAAAGAAAAACATAAACAAATAAATAAATAAAAGAAGACAGAGCGAAAAGAAACATTTCCCGAAGCAGATCCTGTTCAAATTCTGTTCAGATTTCAGACACACGTTATTGAATTGAAAAGCCTTTGTTCCTTAATGAAGAGCCATTATACTCGACTTATTCGAGTGTGTATAAGACACATGTGTAAGTGTGTGTGTTTTTTTTCTTCCCCTTCTCCCTCCTTTCCTCTTATTCCTACTCTTCTTCCTCTTTCATCTTCTTGTCTTGCCAGTTAGCATTAGGTACAACAACACGCACTTAATATCCTTAATAATGCTCTAGGCTAATGACTTAATTTGTCTTATGTAAAAACTGGGGCGTGTTCTTGACTGTGAAAAATCTAATGGATCTAAGAAGAAATAAACATTTCAATCAAGAAGCTTTATTGATTCTAAATGATCATGCAACAGCCAATCGTTGCAGCTTCGTCGTAGGTTTATTGTCTACCATTTTCCACAGCAAACGCCTCCACTTCCTCCGCCTCCTCCACCTGCTCCACCTCCACCTCCACCTCCTCCGCTGTGGGTAAGGAGAGGTAAGATATTTTTGAATGCAAGACTCTATGAAAGTTAATGTTAGGGTTTGTGGCATTTGACAGTATTATTGATATCGAAAGCTAACATTTGTGAAGAAATGCGATTTCCTTGTTTAACACTCACGATACGAGTCCACCGGTGGTAAAGCCACTGTTTCCGCTGCTGAAGCCCGAGCCGCCGCTTCCTTGAGCCCCGCTGTTGCTGCTGCTGAAGCCTGAGCCGGTGCCGGTGAAGCCGCTGCTGCTGCTGCTGAAGCTCGATCCGAAGCCTCCGCCTCCTCCACCTGCTCCACCTCCTCCGCTTCCTCCACCGAAACCTCCTCCACCACCTCCTAGTCCTCCACCGCCGAAACCTCCACTTCCCCCTCCAAGACCTCCACTTCCTCCAAAGCCTCCGCTGCCTCCACCTCCACTTCCTCCTCCGAAACCTCCACTTCCTCCCCCAAAGCCTCCACTTCCCCCTCCGAGGCCTCCCCCTCCGCCTCCCTTAATGGAAAGTCCTCCCGCAAGACCGACGGAGAACCTCCCCCCTCCCACGCCCCTCCCCCGCCCGCGCCCTCTTCCTCTCCCGCCTCCACGCCCTCCGCCGCCGCCGCCGCCGCCTCCAGCGCCTCCGCAGCACACTCCTCCTCCGTAGCCTCCGCCAGGAGCGGCCGTCGCCAGGCACGCTGCCACCACCACCTGTGGGAACCAAGGCCTTTGTGTCAGACACTCAGGACTCGACGGGCGTCAGTGCCAGGCGTTGAGTCCCTAAGGTTTCAAGGCCTATGGGCTCATAATCACTTCGTGCAAAAGCTAAATAACTCACTTCACGAATTTACATAACGTTTTACCGCGTGAAAAGTTACGCGTAACTTTCAGCACAATAATCATAATGGTGCAGCGTGATCTTAAATGCTGGGTCTCTAATAGTGAGAAATCTTTGGCTCATAGTGATTTCTTGACACAGCTAAATGACTTAGATGAATAATAGGGGAACCATCGCGTGAAAAGAAAATTTTGGTATTAAACTTTCAAAAACTCATGTAATGTTAGGCGTTGATAGTCATCCTCATTGACTTCTGTTTCATCGAACAGGTTATTCATCATTTTTCTTGAATAACCGACTCATGTATTCAGCCTCTTTGAAGGACAAGATATTCGTAACACTCACTAAGGCAAGGACTAGCTTCATGTTGCCTCGTGACGTTCGAGAACCAACTGAAGCCGAGGACTGACAAGGATTTTGACTGAAAGGTATTTATAAGCAACCCCGAAAATTCTCATTTTGTCTGTCTTTTTTTATCTTTTTTATTTTTGCAATTATTCTTTTACTTATCTATTTTTTATCATTATTTCTTTTTTTTTTTTTAAAGAGAAAGACCGAATCATATTTCGAAGAACAGATAAGGAGATAATTCAAGGAACGAGCTCGGGAAACCCAAGTTCCTCGGCGAAAGATCATCAGGAATTGCTCAAGAAGTTGACCGAAGTGCGAAGGACTTTGGTCTGTATGGACGACTTATGGTGCTCTTTTAGGGAGTAAGTGAATGAGTGAATAAATTAACTCATACACGCACAAACGCACACGCACATCTATATCTATCTATTTATCTCTGTATAGGTGTATATATATATATATACATATATATATATATATGTATATATATAGGTATATACATACACACACACACACACACACACACACACACATATATATATATATATATATATATATATATATATATATATATATATATATGTATGTGTACACACACACACACACACACACACACATACATATATATATATATATATATATATATATATATATATATATATATATTATATATATACATATATATATATATATATATATATATATATATGTATATGTATAATATATATATGTATATATATATATATATATATATATATATATATATATATATATATATGCATACACCCACACCCACACCCACACATATGCATATACACAATACACATATTCACGATAGAAGTAAAGTTGATCCTATGAGCCGCTAGTTATGAAATCAATGATAAGTGCATTTGGGTATTTATGCATTTGAGTATTTTTTCATTGTGTTTTTTTTCTTTTTCTTTTGTCCTTTCTACTTTTTCCTATTTTCTTGTCTTCTTTTTCTTAATATTTTTACGCAACATTTTTTTTCTTCTTCTTTTTTTCTTTTTTCATATGAAATCCCATGTTCATCCGACTTCAGAGAGAGGGAGAGATCAGGAGGGAAGGAGAGA